CAGCCCGATTCGTAACCACTACGCTACCAGAGCTCCTTTCACATGCATATGAGGTGATTGAAAATACCATGGCTTGGGGCAGGCACACCTTAGTCCTCAAACTAACATCTTTGCTCTTCCACACTTTAAAAAGTTCTTGTGCAGTAAATTTGCCTAATGCAATATGTCGTTTGATTTCTTGACTGCTACTTCCATGAGTGTTGATACTTGATCCAAGAAGAATGAAGTCCTTGACAACTTCAATCTGTTCTTTGTTGGTAAGAATTTTGGCTATTGGTCCAGTGGTGAGGATTTTTGTCTTCTTTACATTGATATGCAACCCATAGCTTAGGCTGTGCTCTTCGATCTTCATCAGTAAGTATTTTAAGTCCTCTTCACTTTCAGTGAAAGTGTAATCTGTAGATTACATCATTAGAAACCAATGAGGCAGTTCTACTTTATCTTACAGGGTCACTATTGGTCAGAATATGACACTGTAGGATAAGTACTGGACTGGTAGCCATAACATTGGCAGTTCAAACCCACCAGTCACTCTTCAGAAGAAGTCTGTCTCCCTCAAGATTTACAGTCTCTGAAACTCTATCCAGGGTTGCTATGAGTCTGAATAAACTCAATGGCAGTGAGTTTGGTTTTTTTTTTGGTTTTAATGAAACTTAAATAATATATTGGTGAATAACGAGTGCTTTATTATAAATATTAGTGATTCAAATTTATGTAGACCCATTTAAGAGGAAGTCACACTCCTTCATTTTAAATTTAGTCCTTTTATTAGAAAATACGAGTATAATCCTAACCTAGTATAATCTTGGAGTTCTGGTGTGGCACTGTGGATTAATGCGCTGGACTACAAATTCAGTTCGAACTGCAAGGTCAGTGGTTCAAGCTCACCAGCTGCTCCTTGGAAACCCTATATAGGGTCTTTATGGGTCGGAACTGACTCGACAGCACTTAACCACAACAACAAAATGTGACATTATGAAAATAATTGTATCAAAAACAGCTATGCATACACATTTTTTTATACGAATTGTCTTCAGCATATTCATAGTCCTATCATGGAAACACAAGGGCAGCATTTTTCCTTTTATTTTAATGTCATGTATTTTCTACATTTTCCTCCATCGCCATTTCCCACTTGAGAATGAAAAAAGAAAAACATTTAAGCCTGACAGTTTTTAAGTGGACTCCCTGGAGAGCTTTGCTTCCAAGTGAACAAAAATTGGGGATTTAGTTCAAGCTTTGTGGCTGCGCAGGTGTTTCTAATAGATTGAAATCTCTGCCTTCCTCATCATTCATGCGTGGTTCCATTACTCTCCAGCAATATTGTTTGAAGAGACTTGTTTCACAGAGAATTTACTGAGTTGGATTTGTAACTTTGTATTTATGAGCACACGAATGTCTTTAGCATGGTATGTTATCCTTAAATTGCCCACATGTGTGTGCTGATGAGCATATATATTTGTGTGCAATTAATTAACACTGAAGGATTCTTCGATCTCTAAAATATGATGAATTTTAATATAAACACTTCATTTGTATTTTGCTGTAAGTATATACAGCCCAAAATACACTGTGTTAAACAACTTTTACATGTGCAATTCATCGATATTGATCACATTCTTCAAGGGGTGCCGCCATGCTCACTATCCTTTTCCAAATGTTTCTACCTCCATTATTTGAAACTCACTGACCCCCGAAATTCCCATCCTACCTTTGGAGCTGCTGTTGACATTTGATCCCACACAGATCATTCTTTAAAGGAAACAACACTCACAGCAGATGGACTTCACAAATGAAGAGAAACTTGTTTGGTTCAAAGGAGACGTCAGGAAATAGGTTTTTTAAAAGATATGTTTTATTGTGACTTATGTGATAGATTACATGGGAGAACATTAGCTTTACATTCATCCTATCGTATATCATTTCATTGTCAGGATTACAAGGAAATAGTTTTGGCTTAAGGTTTAATGTTTGAAGATTATTTTAGGGCAGTAGCTTCAAATTTCCCTAATGGCTTTCTCATGTTGTTAGGTGCCATCAAGTCAGTTCTGACTCCTAGTGACCCGGTGCACAACAGAAGGAAATACAGCCTTATCCTGAGACAGCATCACAGTCATTAAGTTTGAGCCCACTGCTCCTTCCACTGTATCAGTCCATCTGCTGAGGGTCTTCCTCTCTTTCACTGACCCTCCACTTTACCAAGCATGATGTCCTTCTTTAGGGACTGGTCCCTCCTGATAACATGTCCGAAGTATGAGAGAGGAAGTCTTGCCATCCTGACTTCTAAGGAGCATTTTGGCTGTACTTCTTCCACACAGATTTGTTTTCTGACAGTCTGTGGTACTTTTAATATTCTTCTCCAACACTATAATTCAGATGTATAGATTCTTCTACAGTCTTCCGTATTCATTGTCCAACTTTCACATGCATGTGAGGCAATTGAAAATACCATGGCTTTGGGTGCACCTTAGTCCTCAAACTAATACCTTGAATACTTCACAGAAGTCTTGTGCAGCAGATTTACCTAATGCCATACGTTATTTGATTTCTTGACTGCTGCTTTCATGAGTGCTGATTGTAGGTGCAAATGAAATGAAGTGTTTGCCAGCTTCGATCTTTTCTCCATTTATTATGATGTCCAGTGGCAAGGATTTTTGTTTTCTTTACATTGAGCTTCAGTCCATACTGAAGGCTGTGTTCTTTGTTCTGCATCAAAGGTGGTCATAAGTGGTCATTTTCTCAGTCAACTGGAATGTTGTAAATTCTGCATTGTCTCGGGTTCTTGGGAAGCTGTCAATCACAACAATTCAGTCTTGGCTTCCCAGGGTTCTGACTTGTATTCAAGATAAAAACACAGATTTGATGCCAGAGCAAAGTCTTTCTTAGCAATGAAGAGTTTTGCAAACTTGAGAATTTGGGGACTGTGATTCTTAACTACTGTGGTTGCTTCTCTGGTAGTGTAGTGGTTACGAATCAGGCTGTGAACCTCAAGGTCGGCAGTTCGAAACTACCAGCTGTTCCACAGGAGAAAGATGAGGCTTTCTGCTCCCATAAAGATTTACAGCCTCAGAAACCCTGTACAGGGTCATTATGAGTCAGAACCAACTCCACAGCACATAACAACAACAACAAAATGGTTGTTTCTAGCTGTATAAAACTCAACAGATTGCGGAGTGGTTTGCCGATTGTAGCTCAAGATTGTTACTGCTGCTTGCAGAATGTGCCCTTTGGTTGTTTCAATAATTATATATTCCTGAGTGTTTTTGTGTACATCACTCCCCCAAAGGAAAAAAAAACAGCAACAAAAATAAATAGAGGGAATAGAAGCAAATACTGTTGAATGTTGATGTATGCAGGAGATTGTAATCATTGCAATGAAAAGATGAGTGTAAAACCCATGTTTTCCTATGTAAACTATCACTCAGTTCACAATAAAAACTTAAAAAAAACCAAACAAATTTACTGCTGCCATGCCTCAGGGGCATCAGTTGAGCCGATCTGTTCATGAGAATGTTTTGTGCAGGTTTGAGAGTACCAGATTTTACAAAATGTGTGTCTTGTTTGATTCAGGTTATACTGGGGAGCTCTGCCAATCCAACATTGATTACTGTGTCCTGGAACCATGCAGAAACGGAGCAACATGTGTTTCTAATGTCAGCGGATACACCTGCCAGTGTGCAGAAGGTAAATGTCATTACTCAAGGAATGTCTGTCCTTTTCCATTTGGAATCATGAACTCACTCGATTGCATTCTTCATTTCTGAAGAAGTCTATACAAGAGAACTTAAGAATTTGTTCCGTTTATAAAACAAAATAGAAGAGGGTGTTATTTTTGATCTCTGGGTTATAATTAAGGAGTCCTGGTGGTGTGGTGGTTAAAGCACCGTTAACCAAAAGGTTGGCAGTGCCAACCCACCAGTAGCTCTGTGGCAGAAAGAAGTGACAGTCAGCTTCCCCAAAGATTTAGAGCTTTTGGAAACTTTATGGGGGCAGTTCTGCTTTGCCCTCTAGGGGTGCTATGAGTCAGAGTGGACAGGACAGAAGTGGGTTTGATAAGCACTGGACTGCTAATCACAAAGTTAGTGGTTCAGACCATCTACTCCTAGGAAACCCTATTCAGGGTCGCTATGAGTTGGAACTGACTTGATGACACTTAACAGCAACAATAGATAAGTGAAATTTCACCATTACAAGGCCCAATTTCTGATACTTATTCTGTATAAATAAAGTTTAGTAGTCAAACATTTTTTCAAGCTGTAGTTGTTGTTTTTAAGTGCCGTTGAGTCGGTTCCAACTCATAGCGAACTTGTATAGGGTTTCCAAAGAGTGGCTGGTAGGTTTGAACCAGCCTTGCAGCTCGACTTTGTGGTTGAGTGCTTATCCTACAGTGCTACACCAGAACTCCTCACTTGTCTATATAACATTTTGTTGTTGTTAAGTGCCGTCAAGTTGGTTCCAACCCATAGCGACCCTGAAGAGGGTTTCCAAGGAGAAACTAGTGAGCTTGAACCACCAACCTTACAGTTCAAATCAGCATTGCATTCTAGCGCATTAATCCACAGCACCACATACCATAACATATAAAACTATTTATATTTGTTACACTGGTATTTTTTAATATCGGTTCACATAAAATCATTGCCTGTTTTTGTGTTTAAATCAACTTTGCAAAGTCTTAGAGGAGTCATGTCATTTAGCAGGCCATGTCTTTAGGGCAATTTTTATTCATTTATTTATTAAAAGAAGAACAGCGTTTTACCATGAGAATAATATTTCACCCGAAGAAGCAGGTGGACCATCACAGCTAAGGAGCTGATGTTCCAGCAGTGATTTTGTGCTTTGAAGAGGTTTCATTCCCATTTCTGATTTCAGGGTTATTATGGGAGGGATTACTTTAAACCTTTAAAACTGTAAGGATAACATGATACTAGAGTTCTCTTTTGTAAAGCCAGTGTGTAAGCTCCTGATCACAGAAATGGCAACTACATAAACTTGTCACATCCTCCCTGGAGATGACGTGTGCTGTCCATGTGTGAGGGAGGAACCTCCTGAGTCAGACTCCCCCTAGGTGACTTCTGGCTGAGGAGTTGGAGGAGGTCAGGGTACCGAACAAGGTGCTAATAAGAGGCCCCTGGTTTCCCAGGTAGCCCAGGTGTCTTGGGGATGCCAGGGCAAGCACCTCACAGTCTGTACTGTTTTGAAGAACGAAGCACACACAGGAGAAGGGCAAGTTTGTGTCCCCCAGCTTCTGCTCCTCTGGCGGGGGTAAGGATGGCTGTGTCCAGCCTAGTTACCCCTTTCCCCAGCTGACAGAGCTCACTGTTGATCTTGGCAGTGGAATTCCTCATTCGTGATGCAGGCCCACTCCTCATCTTCCCGCACCCTTCTTTTGTACTGCAGGCTTATCTCGTGAAGCCAATGGGAAAACTTGCAGATGTTGCCAGGGGCTGAGGCCTGAGCACAGTAACAATCCTGATTCAATACTTTGCTGTGCTCCCCCACCCCCCAGCTAGTCAGTCACCACCTAATGCGGTTGGGTTGTAGGCTGTGGGATACAGGAAGGGCAGGCTTCAGCTGTTACCAGTTGATGGTGATGTCAGATCATGAATTCTCTCTCTCACCCCATCCTCTGTCCTCTTTTTCTAGGAAAGGCAGGTGGTAATGATACTGCTTTGTCACAAGGCCATTCTAGGATGGGCTGAGATAGTTGTGAATGAGCTTTGAAAACTGCAAAGTGCTATTGCTAAGTGTATTGGTAACATGTTAAAGTGAGGCCCTAGAGGCTCAGAGAGGAGGCAGTTTGCACTAAACCACACTGGCAGGAAAGGCTCACCTACCACCCATCGGTTAGTTTGTTGTATGATGTTGGACATCATAGCCATGTGCCAACTACCAGAGGACAACGAACTCACAGATGGTTGGTGGTGGACGATGCTGGGCAGGACTCCTGAGGTGGTGCTATAGGATCGAACCTACACTGGGAAACACAAGGTCAGCTCAAACCCACCAACTGCTTCTCGGAAGTCCTAGGCAGGGTCGCTATGAGACAAAACCAACTCGATGGCAATTAACAACAACAGCATGATGCTGATCAAAGAGCCCTAGTAGTGTAGTGAATCATGAACTAGACTACTAACCATAAGGTCAGCAGTTCAAATCTACCAGCCGCTCCTCAGGAGAAAGATGAGGCTCTCTGCTCTCGTAAAGATTTACAGACACGGAAACCATATTTGGGGTGAAACATGTGGAGTCCTGGTGTGGTGCTATGGGTTAATGTGCTGGACTGCAAAGTCATTTGAATTGCAAGGTTGGTGGTTTAAGCTCACCAGTCACTCCTTGGAAACTCTATACAGGGTCACTAAGGGTGCGGAAATGACTCAACAGCACTTAACAACAACAACAAATGAGTCAGAATCATGTGAACGGCACACCACCACGATTCCAGGCGCTATTTCTAATTCTAGCAGGGTCACCAGTGATGGGCAAGTTACATCAGAGCTTCCAGACTACGACAGAATAGGGAGAAAGGTTTGGAAGTCCACTTCTGAAAACTTTTTCAGTGCAAACTCTATACCAGTGATTGTGAGGATGGTGCTGGACCAGGCAGTATGTCATTCTGTTGTTGATGGGATCACCAAGAGTCCGAGCCAATACCACTGATGGATGGCTAGCAGTCCTTCTCTTTTCTCCAGTGCTTTATGGCTTCCTTCATGCTGTCCAGATAAATGCAATTGTCTGGAAATGACACATGAAAGGATGAAGATGAATTTAATAATAGTGTTTGCATAAAGACTTTCACTCCGAAGTTTGTCCCCATTGAAGACTGCCCGGGGAAAGGCAGTTTTATAATTGTCCAAAAGGGTAAATTGGAATGATTTTAAGCCTAGTGACTGGCATTTTAACTTTCCATTTTTAAAGTAGTCTCTACCATTGCCATGTTCTCAGGTCAGTTGTCACAGTAACTAGTGTTTGTTGAGCCCTGGGATGCTGTAGGATAAATACTGGACTGCTAACTGCGAGGTCGGAGTCTTGGTGTGGAACTGTGGGTTAATGCACTGGACTGCAAAGTTGGTTTGAACCTCAAGGTCGGCAGTTCAAGCTCACCAGCCGCTCTTTGGAAACCCTATACAGGGTTGGTATGTGTTGGAACCTAACTTGAAAGCATTCAAGAGCAACTGCAAGGTAAGGTACAAACCCATCAGCCGCTCCTTGGGAACCTGGTACAGGGTCTTTATGAGTCAGAACCAACTTGATGGCACTTAACAAAAGCAACAACATATACTGTACAGGGAGTATTACGACTGTAAAATAAGCACTGCACTACTAGCCGCAAGGTCGATGGTGCGAGTCCACCAGCAGTTCCACCAGAGAAAGATGAAGCTTTCTGCTGCTATAAAGAGTCACAGCCCTGGAAACCCAAGACAGGGTTGCTATGAGACCAAACTGATTCAGTGGTGCTTAATAACAACAACAATATATCGTCAAAAGCTTGTAGCTCCGGGATCTTTCTAATACTAGCCACACGGTGAAAACCAGTTTGAAATGTTCACAGCAGTGTTCTGGAGTTCGGAGCCAGCTACCTCGTTTACCTCACTGCTTTGCATTTTGTATGAATTCTGTCTGTCCCACTACACTGTGTATTCTCTGAGGCAGGAGATGCACCGTGTTCAGCTTCTTTTCCTTCATCTACTCCTGATACCTGCTTGACGATCAGCATTTAACTGTGTGGGTTGTTTCAGTAGGAAGAGGTTAATAACTATCTGTGACATCAGTGATAAAAGCCATTCCTCCTGTCATTTAGTGCATCTGCTAAATCACTCAGCCCCAAATGGAGAGAAACCCTCACCAAGATGGATTTACATGAAAAATGCGGTGATCCTATCACAGACCATGAAGCTAGTGTGAGGCCCAGCAATGTTTTGCTCTGTTATATTTCATCCATCAGTAGCCTAATGGCAAATGACAACAACATGTCTACTATTCATTTTGCAAGACTAATGACTTACTCATTGTAAATACCTTTTTCAACAACAAAAATGGTGACTGTACTCATAGACCTTGCCAGATGACACAGAGGAATCTAATCGACTACACTTGTGCAAAATGACAGTTGTTATTATTAAGTGCTGTTGAGTCAGTTCTGACCCATAGCGACCCTGTATAGGGTTTCCAAGGAGTGACTGGTGAGCTTAACCACGGACCTTGTAGTTCAAACAGCTTTGCAGTCTGGCACATTAACCCACACTGCTACACCAGAAGGAGTTTAATATCTTCAGCCCAAACAAGGCCAGTGGTCAACTGTGGAACACATCATCAATTTCTCATAAGCAAGTCTAGGCAGAAGTTGAAGAAAATTAAAACAAGTCCATGATAGCCAAAATATGACTTTGAATATGTCCCATTTGAATTTAGAGACTATCTCAAAAACAGATTTGATGCATTAGACACTAATGACCATAGACCAGAGGAGTTGTGGGATGATATCCAGAACATCATACAGGAAGAAAACAAAAGGTCATTTAAAAGACAGGAAAGAAAGAAATATGGATGTCAGAAGAATCTCTGCACCTTGCTTTTGAACACAAAGATGCTAAAGCTATGGAAGAAATGAGCTGAACAGAAAATTTCAAATGGCAGTTTCAGAAGACAAAGGAAAGTATTAGGATGACATATTCAAAGACCTG